TTTTTTTTTTTTTTTTTGTGGGGGGGGGGGGGGGTTTGGGGGGAAATATTAGGGGTCTAAACAGACCAGTGATATTTCCCTTTTAAAATAGAAAAAGAAATTGAGGACACAGAATCTTCAAACTCTTTTTCTGCAGACTCTGAATGGGGAGAAGCCTCTGTACTGAGTGCAACTACCCATTCAGAAACTCATCAATCTACAGGAAGTGATGTAAAGCACTTCCTGTTCATTCATAACTGGGGACACATAGTACTATGTGTCCCCAGTTATTTACAAACGCTGGAGTGATCAGCTGATCGCTCCAGTGTTTGTTCTGCACACAGAGGATCGGTACATATCACTGATATATACCGATCCTCCGCCGCTCGGCCTTGTGCAGAGGGGCGGCACAGCCTGCAGCTTCTCCTATGGATCCCCGCTTTTCCATCCTCCATCTGTATGGGCAGAGGCCGCCGGGTTCGGAGGCATTAAAAAACAGAAAGCAAATAGCAATCTTTATATGGAGCACAGTAATGGAAATCTGGTGGCAAACAGGCAAAAATATGACAACTACCGGTATGTTAACATTTTTTTTTAAGTGAAACATTGTAGTAATTACTCAAAATATGTGCTCACTGAAAATACACTGCACTTTCCCTTTAAAAAGATAAACATTTCTATAAATTGTGGTCTCCTCTGGTTGCCCTGCAAGTTAAAAATGAAAAATAAAATGATATTTTCTCAGCGTTGGTATAAAAGAATCCTGACTATTCAAGTGCTTCAGCTGCAAAGAAAACCTTAGCCTTATCTTGACTGGAATTCAGTAAATCACTCAATGTAGGCAGTATATTGTAGAGCTGAGCCAAGCTGAGCTCCCCTACCCGCCCAGTATAATCGTATCATGTCTTATTTAAGCTAATGCGTTTACAAAGGAAAATGATACCCGATTAGACAGCATAATAGTTTTGTAAATGAGAATGTCAGGTTTAATTCACTATCAGCAAAAATGTATTATTTCATTTGTGCGATGTCATAAATTTCTGGTGACTTCAAAGGTACTGCTTCTAAATTCAAATTGGCTTCTCCCAGGAGATACAGAGGGACAGGGAGCTTCTATTGTATGCCAATCTGTGTATTTTAAGTCATCCGAGTAACTACGCCATAGAGTTTGTACCACAGAGGTGCGCACATGCATTCTAAACATTTCTATTGACTGTGTTATTTGTATTTCCTTCTTTTTCCTGTGCCAACAAACCGTGCAAAGCGGCGATGTCACCGCGATCACTTGTATGCAGCCTGCAGGTCTTCCATTGTGTGGGGGGAAGTTTGGTGGGTTTGGCGGCTAGGGGGGCGCATTGAGGAACCTGGCCTTGGGGCAGAAGAGACAGTAAATCCGGCCCTGCCCAAATACACACAAGGGCAAGACAGGATGGAGGCTAATATACCTTCTAGTATATTTCTTTGGGTGGGTTGAGGGAAGAAATGCATGCAAACGCAATGAAAAGTGAAAAAAGTGTCCCGGGGGTGAACTCGGGGCCCTAGTGCTCACCATTTAGCCACCACGTTAATTTTTTGTAATCCCTATTGACCAGAGCAGCTTTACATCACAGCTCTGGGCCTGTTGGTTTGCCAATAACTTTCATTGCTTATGATACCTAATTGATTATTTTTGTGTCTTGAACCTGTTGGAGGGATTTTCCTTCACTTCCAGTCTTGGAGATACAACAGGAAGTGACAGAAAATCTTTAGATGCCTCTTGAAAAGGGACCCCATTGACAGGGACCCCATATTTTCACCTTCTTGTTCCACTGACAGCTGCAACGTTTTCAATGTATCATCCCTTTTCTGGTCGCCTGGATGATTAGAGAGGGTGGAGAGCCAGGCAGCAATACAAATCTGGCAGCAGTTCTAGACTTTCCCTGCTCTTTCCAAAAAAGCGAGGCATCCCCCAAGCCTCATATACTCACTTTACATGGGCAGCATTGATGTCACTCCCCTTGGTGACAGTGTTCTGGGTTAGTGATTGGCTCCTATGGCAGGGCACGGTCACATGCTGCCCCATACATGGAAGCGCTGGGTATTCATGCCGACCATTGAGAAGCAAGGAGCTGTGATGGCGTGCCATGTAAATAAATATAAGGTGGTCAGAAGATACCCTTTGTAGAGGGCATGGGTATGGTTATCGGGTCTCTTTAAGTGCTGTCACAGCTTGATGAATCAGAACCATTGACTTGTAAGAATTTTTTTTTTCCAGATTTATTTCAAAGGTTTTTCAAAGCACAGAATACTGTCAGGATCAGCAAGTAATACAATTATCTCACAGGAGGAACTCAGAAAAACAAACAAAGCCGTGATAGACTGCATCATAATTGTCATTTTTTATTTTGCCCATAATTGCATTTCAAATATGTTTGTAGCTCACTTAAAACCACATCTAAGACTACACTGTCAACAAGGTGACAACACTACTGTATGATTTCACTGTAGAACAAACTGTGTTGTCACCCTATTAAAGGAAGTAGAAATATAACTGATCCTAGTGGCATAATACTGATCTGTTATGGGGGGACGGAGGGCTCAGAAAGGTAAAAACCTTCCAACATCTCTTGCCCTCTGCAGCGGTCTAAGGTCCCGTAAATCATCACATCTATACACAGTGTATAGACGTGAGAACGCTGAGGAAGATTCCAATGCTGCAGGGAGGGGGAGACAGGCTGCAAGGGAGCGCTGTGACAGCTGGCCGTCTTGGAGCATCGGGTGAGAATAATTTTGTTACTTTAGCACCTAGACAAAAATGAGCACTTAACCCTTGCAGTGCAGGGGTTGCCCCACTGCAAGGGTTAATAAAACATTCCTGGGGTTCTTCTTTAATGTTAGTGGCAGACTGCATCATATCTGTCATTTTTGTTATTTTGCCCATAGTTCATCTTTACTCTGATCTTGGCAAATACACAAACAAACACAGCTGGCGGTGGAATGAAGCATGTCCTGAAAATTACATGAGGTTCTCTCTACATTTATATTCTGTGAATGTTCTGTGAACATTGTGAAAGTTTTTAAGGTAACAGGTTTCAATTTGATAATGATGAGAGGCAAACATTTTCTCCAAACCTGGGACATCAAAACAGGCAGCCGATGCCAAGGTATCTTTGACGCCTTGGAACAATCAAGGTATCTGGATTTTCATTTTAACCAATAAAAATACTAATTATTTTTAATTTCTATTTTTTCCTTCTAGCCTCTCTATGATCTGCTAGCGGAAGCCAAGACTGCAATGAACACAATGGACATAATTCTGGCCCTTAAAGGTTTGGGGAATTCTGGACAAGCAGCTTGCATCAAGAAGATTCTGAAGTTCCTTCCAAGAATAACATCCACGAGCTCCAACTTGCCTCTACCTGTGCAGGCCGCGGCTGTTTTGGCCCTGAAAAACATTGGGATCAAACACCCTGCAAAGGTATTTGTATAGAGAATTTCAGTAAGTAGACATGTGCGATTCGTTTAGTTCCGAATCGAAATTCGGACACAATTTCGGAAATTTGTGGATTCGGAGCATCCGAATTTCCAAAATGTACCATGTCCGAATTCATCCGAAAGCATCCGAATCCAAAATTCTGGATCCGAAATTTTGGATTCGGAATTTCGGATTCAGTACGAGTTTCATCCTAACAGAAAATAAATTCGAAATTTACGATAATGACTTCAAAAAGAGGATTTCATAGCATGTGAAGATAAAAATAAAAAATTGCTTCATGTTCCTGTGCGTGCACCGTCAACATTTGAACGGATAAAAAAAAATTAAGAAAAGGATTTGTGCAGCTCGCGGTATACTGCGGCGTCTCAGTATACCGCGAGCTAAAGCTTGCGGTATACTGAGCCAAGGGCGATGGGAGGACGCTAGTTTGTGTCCTCCCGTTACCTTAAGGAGAACTATGGGGAAAAGACTTAACCCCATAGTTCTCCCTTAATGTCCCTTTAATAGTGAAGACTAGAGCACAGCAAACAGAAATGTCAACTGTGCCAATTCTGCTACGTACGTGCGTACGAACATTCGTTCGTTCGCGCAAAACCCCAAATTTCGGAAATGAATCCGAATCCGATCCGAATTACGAATCCGATCCGAATCCGAAAACCCAAAACGAAACATATACAGGACACGATTTCGGAAATAAACGAAATCCTAAACTAAACTAAACAAATTTTTGCGCCTGCACATGTCTACCAGTAAGCAATGCTTGCTGGTATTAGAAGGTAACCCTATTTTGTTCCCCAAACAATTACATTTTATGAAAAAACAATTGCTGGTCCTTGGGTCCCCATGACTAACACAGACAGAGGTAGAAGAATTAAAGTGACCCAGCCATTACTGGGGTTATGCAGTCTCGGTGTGAATATTCTCTATTAAAACCTATCTCTAGCAAAAAATAAAAATGTATTTTGGATAGAGCAGAAAAGAATTAACATTTCGGGGCGGTCAGGTTGTGGGGGACCCCAATGGGAAAATATTACCTAGCTTCCTGTACCTGTGATACCAGGAAAAGAAATGGGGAGAGTGGTTGTCACTGGGACAGGAAGGCATGGACAGCAATTGTTACGGTGACACCCCCCTGGCAGGTGATATTGGCTCACCTGAGGCTCAGAGCCTAAATACCAGCCGGTTTTCACTAGAGCTCCTGATGATGGAGATGAGTTTTGCTGCTGCCAGGTTGTGGACCTCAGGATTGCCCCACCAAGGGTTGAGCCGGACAGGAGGGCTCCAATGAGGAGACAGTAATCTGGAGCATCGTCATGAAAAGGTAGAGATCCTGACAAAAGAGCCAGAGACTGGTTGGACGGTCTGGGTCAGCAGCCGTAGGTAGGAGCCAAAGTCAGACAGCAAAAGCGTAGTCAGATCCAGGAAGGGGTCAGGGCAGGCGGCTAACAGAGAATGGTCAGACATCCAGGTCGGCAACTAATAATCAATCGGTAAGGTAGGAAACAAGAGTGTAATAGGGTTCAGGCAGGAGGTCAGGGCAGGCAACAAACAAAGAGGGGTCAGACAGTCTGGGTCAGCAGCAGGTAACAAACAACAGTATTATGGCTCTTGTACACAACAGGAAGCTGGCTTGAAAACACAGCACCAACCCCTTGCAGCACTGGTGCTTAAATACATTTCTGAATTAGAAATGACATGAGATGTACAAATCCCAGGAGCTCCGTGTGCTCCTTACAAAGGACAGCTGCCTCCTAACTTTTGAATTTTTCTCTAGTCTAGTCTTGGAGCTGGAAAAGTATCTGCACTAGTACTTATACCAACTACAGTACTTGGTATCGGTGCATCCCTAATTATAATGTAACAAGAGATGCTCTTGCCAGTACACTTTTTTCATACGTAAGCCCAACTGAAATGTAATATTTCCTCCTATTCAGATTCTAGATATCTGCCTTCAGTTGTACATGGACATGCAGCAGCACTCAGTTATCCGAAGAATAGCCGCTGGTATTATCCTGGAGGAAAAGCCACCTTCTTCTGTTGTCATGATGATGGCAAAATCTCTCATGAAAGAAGCTGACATGGAAGTGGGAAGTTTCGTCTATTCTTCGATGAAGAGGTTTAGTAGAAGCGCCAACCCTGAGCTACATGAAATGTAAGGGGGTTCTGGGCTACTGGTAACTGGTAAATGACAATGTCACCGACATGAAGGGAGGAAGACAATATCTGCATAGACGATCTGTGTTGTGGTGTGCTATAGCAAGTAATGGGGGTTTACAATAGAATATACTTAATTTTTAGTGTAAATATTGGCACATTTTCCATGCGGTAAATCACAGAATGCAAAGGAAACAGCTGGGGGATTTGTCCATTATCACTCATAACCGGTGATGAAGGAATCGGTTCTATTTTTTTTGTTCAGCCCACAGGTGGAATAAAATAGACCCGTGTATACCCAGCTTTAGAGAAACCAGAACTAGTGTCCCCCATTGGTAAATTTCCGATCTATTTCTGTTCTGATGACAACCCAACATTTGGGATTTGTTTCAGTTTCACTTCCAGTGATATCAGTCATCAGGACAAATAGAGAGGGTGAACCTTCATTCCTGCTTCCAATGTGGGGCACAGACAACACAGAAAGAAATCACTCTCTACTCTATCCACTCTATCCAAAATAATAATACGTTTTGGCTTCAGTTGCATAGCCTCCCAATTAGCAGACTGCCATGTTTGCTCCTCCAGGTATTCCTTAGGCAAACCTATCAGGTCTATTAGATTGGGAGCCCAATGGCTAACTGAATAAGCTTGCATTCCAGGCTGACAACACTGCTGCTATTTGTGGCTTAGCGTTGTCAGCCTGCAACAGGTAGTGCTGTTACTGGCAGGAGTTCCCGGTAAAAACATTGCAACAGATTTACAAACGTGGCAAATAGATTTAGGGTTCACATACTCTTTGAGCTGACCACTATAATAAAATAAATAGATGGAATTCAGTTGCCTTTAACAAACCTTTGTTCCCATGTTTCTAGGGCTGCTATTTGCAACATAGCTGTGGCAATCCTGAAGTCCAGATTTGAAGCCACAAGAGGCCAATTTAGCAGTGGATTCTATTATGACATATATTCAGGTATTGGGTCAATTTTTGCATTTCCGGTTACTGCAACGTATCGAAACGCCTTCAAGAAAAATACAACAAGTCTAGTTGCCTTGGTTTCTTTTTACAGACAGTACAGGAATACTATTGTATTGCCATTTACTATTTAAGATCCAATTACCATAAGCCCTGATGATGGGGGACTTTAATAGACCCCATAAATGCGTTGGACTTTTGATCCTGTTGACCTTTGATAAATAAATCATCACTTTGGATATCAGGGTTTTCTTCCTGCAGTTTCAGTGTACAATGGTACAGATCCCATTGTGCTTTATGTAAAATGCATTGTGCTTTTTTAATGTAATATAAGGTTTTGGTTTTGTTTGTTTTTTTTAAATCATGCACTTTGCTGCTTATCTATGAATGTAAATTGCATGTGCTTGCCATATGAGCTGATCCCATGGTATACTGCATTATAAACTATCTGCCAAGCAACAGGTAAGAGCCTTCTATTGGATAAGTGTTATCATCTGGGGTTGCTTCAGTTGGTCAGGTTTACATTCAGCAACGTTATGTGCCCAGACAATGAGGTCAGCTGTTCACCTGAATATATTGAATGCCCAGGTTTTCCATCAATGGATTATTTCTCCCCAGATGGCACATTGTGCATATTCCAAGATGACAATGCCAGGACTCATCGGGCTCAGATTGTGAAAGAGTGGTTCAGGGAGCATGGGACTTCATTGTCACACATGGATTGGCCACCACAGAGTCCAGACCTTAACCCCGTTGAGAATCTTTTTGGTGCTGGAGCAGACTTTGCACAGTGGTCCGACTCTCCCATTATCACTACAAGATCTTGGGGAAAAATTTATGCAACTCTGGATGGAAATAAATGTTCTGACATTGCATAAGATTATTGAAATGATGCCACGGCAAATGTGTGCCATATTCAAAGCTGGAGGCGGTCCAACAAAATATTAGAGTGTGTGACTTTTTATTTGGCCAGGCAATGTACTAACCCCTTAATCTGATCTTCTAAAATGATCTATTGCTACCAGTATCACTGTAGTGCTAGTTCCAGTACATTGAGATATTATTTTATGAAAGAACTGGTAGCAATAGATATCTTAGGAGGATCAGATTGAAGAGATACTATAAGGTGGTCACAGGAAAGCCTGTAGTATGTTTTGGACATACAGTGAATGAAACAGCTCCCTCGTATGGAAAACAAATATATAGGGACCTTTAACCTCCAGAAGGACACACAAATGGTGTGCAAATGAAACTGAGAAAATTGTAAGTAATTAAAAAAATTGTTAATAATCAGTTTCTACAAGAAAAGTTAAGTTTTAATGCAGTGAGGGCGAGATGCACGGATAACTGAAGTGCATCATCTTAGCTAGGAATAATATTAATTCCCTTCATTTGGCAAAGACTGACCCATGTTTGAATTAATAAGACTTTTTGCAAAATTGCTTTGTTTCAAGAAGAATTCAGGGTGAAAGGTAGATTTTTCAGGGTATGCTCAGACGCAGTTAACATTTCTAGATGTTGTCTATAACAGCCTTTTTTCCAACCAGGATGCCCCTGAAACCTGGGAGTCCTTTTGGCTTCCTCAGGGAGACTCTGATGTGAAAGAGGGAGACTCTGATATGAAGGGAAGCTTCTAATATGACAAGAGGGGACTCTGATATGAAAAGAGCGATCTTCTAATGTGAAAGGGGCTCTTAATGTAAAAGGGGGACTGTGATGTGAAAGGGGGATTCTGCTGTGGAAGAGGGGGGCTCTGATGTAAAGGGGGGCTTCTGATTTTTGTGTTGGGTCCCACCTTAAAATCCATACCAGACCCCTATCTGGGATAAGGATCTGGTATGGATTTTGGAGGGGCCACGCTTTTTTTTTTTTACATTTACATTTTTTACATTTTAGACATGGGTGCCTTGAGATTTTGCCTACTTTTAAAGGGTGCCGTGACTGAAAAAGGTTGAGAAATGCTGATCCATAAGATAGCAAATCTTCACTCCACTTCAGATACACGTTCACCATACTGAAGATGCACAAGTGCGACTTTTTAATAAGTCTTTTGTGACCTTGACCTGACATTGTCAATATTGGAATCCTAGGCATATCAAATAACACTAAAACATTTTTTGTTTTCATAGATTCACTTATGTCAGGAATGCAAAGCATGCTTAACATCATACATGATGCTGCTGATGTTTTGCCAATCGCTGCTCTCGGTAGGCTCAAAATGAACTTCATGGGTGTTTTCACTGAACTGCTAGAGGTAAAAAAAGAAAAAGAAAAAGAAAGAAAAGAATAAAAATGTCTTTGTCCTTCTACCAAAGCATAAAAATATGATTTTTGTTATTCAATGCTTGCATTTCATTGTTACATATAGATCGGCTTCCATGCTGAAGGCCTTCAGGAATTATTAATGAACAGACACTTATTCTCCTCTGGAAGCGGGCTGCACAATATAAAGAAAATTATGGATATGCTGAAGAAGGTAGGAACATTTCAAGTACTGAGATAATGCCATGAAATGGAACCTGAGCATTAACTTACACACAGCGTGCAACAACACACCAAGCGTATAAATTATGTAAATCTTATAAAATCTCCCACATGGTATTGTACAATAACAGGAAACAATGCAATTTACCTTGTTTATACAACACAGAAGGGGAAGCCTGTTAAATTCCAGGGACTGGAGATGGAAAATGGAATGTAAAGGGTCAGGCCCCAAATGGGCCACAGGTCAGATGAACCTGGGCAGTATCAGACTCACAAAGTGATTGTCTTACCTTCAGATTCTGCTGGTTAGCAGGGTTGGTGCCAGGGGGCGGGGGGCGATTTGCTTTAACACTTTTGCTGCCCAAGTCTTTTTTTTTTGCACACGTTAAAATGCACATTTTAGGCCTAAAAGTTAAAACCCCAAAACAATATACTGTACATTTTTCTGAGAGACCATAGAGAATAAAATGGCGGTAGTTGCAATTTTATAGGTCTCATGATATTAGCACAACAGTTTATCAAACCTATATTTTCAATATAAAATACGCTAAAGTTACTTAGAATATACAAACACGATGTAAGACCCATTTGTTAAAATATAAAAGATGAGATTGTGTCGAGTAAATGGATACCAAACATTTGAAGCAGTAAAACTGTGCGCCGCTTGTGAAATGGCGACAAACCAGTGCAGTAAAACTGGAAGTGATGAAAAGTTTGTCGTTACTGGGTGCATTCACTGCAAGGACAATCGGTGAGCGAATGTTCACTGATCTTTCTCTGCTATCACCCACCATGAACGTCTGGGGCACCCAGGAGGAAAGGGGGGTCAGATGAGAAAGGGGACACCTTCAACAGGCTGTAGAAGTGATACAGCTGCCAATTCACTTCTAGTTAAAAGCTGATAGCCTGCAGAAAGATGTAAACAATCTCCCAGCTTCTGCAGCAACAGGGAATCTCTTTACAGGCCCCTTCTAGTGCCAACATAAGCCTTACATTGGTGACAGCAAAAGGGTCAAATCCATTTTAATATAATTTATTTTACAATTAGATTTTAGTGTTAACAATTTGCTATCAGGAAGGTCTTTACTGTAGTGACTCCATGGGGGTGATGTACTAACCTAAGCACACGCACGCACTAGGTGCGTGTGATTTTTACACAGCAAAACGTATTTATCAACCAAAAAGTCTCTAAAAGCATATTTCCACTAATGCCATATATGGAAAAATCATGCACATGATGCATATATAATGCTGCTTCACAGTTTAGACAAAAATGGTTAGCTCATGCATTTACATTCCTGCATTCATCAACGCAAGCAACACAATGTAGAGCTAATTTACACAACATCACCTTGCAATTCATGCAGGGCTTTGCACAACACACCTGCTGGGTGTGTACACACTACAAAGGTGTCTAGATTCCACCAAGAGATCATGCTGGGAGGGAACACACTACAGAGGTGTGTTTATAAGGTTAGTAAATCAACCCCCATATGTCTATTCTGCAATAAGTGCTTCTTACCTTCCAGCATTCATTCTTTTGAAATTACTCTGAATCATACAGGCTGCATTTGCAGGCTGCAAAGCCCCCCACAGATCCTGAAAACCCCCCACAAGTCCTGCAAAGCCCCCCACAGATCCTGCAGAGACCCCCCTGAGACCCTGCAGTCTGCCAGATCTCAGGGGGGCTGTGCAGGATCTGTGGTGGACTTTGCAGGCTGCAGAGCCCCCCATGGATCCTGTAAAGCCCACCAAAAGGTATTGCACAGCCCACCTGTGACTCTTTGGTGGGCTGTGCATAATCTATGGTGGGCCCTGCCAGCACAGTGCTCCTACCTTACACGGGAAGCCCAGCCTTCACTGCTGCCTCGGCACCCAATCTTCTCAGCTTCGCCGCTCGACTGGCCCCTTGGCGACACCTCCTCCATCGCGGTCTCTGTCTTTGCAGTCTTCACAGGACTTCACAGGCCTCTTCCATCTCCCCCTGTCTCCGCCCCCTGTCTCCTCACATCCTCTCATCTCCGCCTCGACCTCACTCTGTTTCCGGCCATCTCATGCCGCTCAGTCCCCCGGCTCCTCCTGCTCGCTCGTCCGCCGATTTCGCCCCGTCGGCTGCCTAATGTTTTGTGGCCTGAACCTGGGCTCGCGTGCCAGCAGAAAGGGCCTCGCGTGCCATAGGTTCTCCACCACTGATTTAGGTAGTGTAAAAAATAATGAAAGTCTCTCCATAAGTGGAATGAGGAACACTTAAAAACTGCCAAGAGGAAATAAGCTTTCAAAAAACAAACACCTCTGGACAGTACAGAATGGTGGGAATAATAGTCGCGTGTGAACACGCTGCTATTCAATTTACCAAGAAATCGTGAAGAATCGGCATGCTCATGTTTCTGGGCTTAAGAAGCGTGTGAACTTGCCTCCACACATGTGCAGTTGGCTCAGAGCTCACAGAGCTGAACACGTCAGTGGTGTGTAAGTTCCATATTTTTTAATACTGTTTTTAGCATTTTCAAAGTGTTTTATGGGATGGTTGTAGGCATAGAGGTGAAGCAGCATTATATATGCATCATGCGCATGATTTTTCCATATATGGCATTAGTGGAAATATGCTTTTAGAGACTTGCATGCCGCTATTAAAGCGGCGTGTAGCCTATGGCGCATGCTACATGACGCGCACGTACGTAAATACATAAAAACGCGCCATAACGGCGTGAAAATGTGACACGTTGCTCGTGTTTGGTTGATAAATACGTTTTGCTGTGTAAAAATGCACACGCACCTGGTGCGTGTGTTTAGGTTAGTAAATCACCCCCTTAATGTCAATTTACAAGCATTAGACAACCAACATACCAGTGAACAATAGCACACTATAGCCATACAGTGTCTTTTAGTTCATTTTCTTTATTTATTCTCACTTTTTGAACTTATAGTTGTACTGCTAATGGCAAGTTAAGCTTAGCTTATTTATTATAATGATAGGTGCATACATAAAACACATTCATATTTACCATTATTGTGTTGTGAACAGTAGACCGGACTTAGTTTTTGTGTAATCCTAGTCCCTGTCATTCGTGGCTCAGTTGTGTTTGGTCAATAGGGTTCTAATTTCAGCTTTTATACAGGTCCATCTCAGCTTTGAGTTGGACCCAATACTGTCTGCGGGTGTGAAAATCTGTTTGCATATATATATACTGTAGATCTAAATGCAGAGAATAATGCTAAAGCCTCCCTTTTCAAACATATGAATTTGCCTAAGAAACTTTACAACAAATGAGATAATATTCAACAAACCCAACTACAGTTATTGTGCAATGAGTATTAAATATTTTTGCGACTATCAATCTTCCAGGTGCATTGACATTGGCTTTGTGTGCCCACCGTGGCACTCATGTCTTAGGTTACTGACCCAAGTCTAAGTATATTAAAATATAATTGTTGCTTCTTTTATTGCTGTAGGCTAAAATAATAGAATTCTATAGGATAATTTTATTTTATTTTAAAATAGCAGTTCTAATTACTCTAATTGCATTTATTATGATTTGCATCTTAGCACTTTGTTTCCTTGCTGCTTATTGCTCATTGTATGACAATGCCTAAAAATTTTACATATTAATGCAAGAGTGCCATCCAGTGGCCATAGTCCACCAGAATAAGAAAAGTATACATGCATATACACTACATTGCCAAAAGTATTGGGACGCCTGCCTTTACACGCACATGAACTTTAATGGCATCCAAGTCTTAGTCCGTAGTGTTGAATATTGAGTTGGCCCAGCCTTTGCAGCTATACAGCTTCCACTCTTCTGGGAAGGTGTCCCCAAGGTTTAGGAGTGTGTCTATGGGAATGTTTGACCATTCTTCCAGAAGCGCATTTGTGAGATCAGGTGCTGATGCTGGACGAGAAGTCCGGGCTCGCAGTCTCCTCTCTAATTCATCCCAAAGGTGTTCTTTCGGGTTGAGGTCAGGACTCTGTGTGACTCAAGTTCCTCCACCCCATACTTGCTCATCTATGTCTTTATCGTATGTGTGTAAAGCAAATAACAGTATACAGAGACCAATAACCCTTAGCAACCAATCAGAGATCAGCTTTCGTTAGTCTGACTAGGCTAATGTGCAGAAAGCTAATCTCTTATTGGTGGTTGTGGGCTACAGTCCAGTAGCACTTTCTCCTCTGTTATTAGATAAAGCATTGGTGTATAAATATAATACATGTCAGCTCACACCGCTCTCCTTCTCTACAGCTCCATGGCTGGAAGCCATTACCTTCGGATGAACCTCTGGCTTTTGCGCACCTTAAAATGTTTGGACAAGAACTTTTCTATCAAGATTTAAACAAACACTCAATAGAAAACATCCTCAAGGTGAGCAATGGAGACTGTGAGGTGGTGCTTCTGATCCTCTGCCCTCAAAGAGAATTTGTCACACAGATCTAGAAAAAAAAGCTACATTAAAGGTACATTTCAACACTGAAAATTCAGCCTTGAAATACATACTGTACTTAATTTTAATTTGCAATTCTCTTGAGAGTGTGGAGGTTAGGCAAGGCACAAAATCCAACATTTCCAAGCCTAATGATTAAAGAGGAACTGAACTGTGGAAGTTGTGCCCTAAATAAAAGGGCAGACTGAGGGAAAAGGACTAGTCACCGGTATTGCCTCTGGTCTCCCTACTATTGATCATTTCCCCATTACTGACTTATCATGCCATGCTCAAGCAGTGGGGGCACCACCCCAGGGATCATAGAGTCCAAAATATTTTTTTTTTAAATTGAATAATTAGTAGAAAAAAAAGCCAACTCATTTTGTGGGTTCAGGCACACATCCTTCATCAGGGCTAAGATACAAGTAGAGTATAAAAGATTGTACAAAATAATACATTATAGGTTACATATTGGTATAAAAGATCAGTTTTGCTGAGGCTACTTTGGATGCCAGTCATCAAATGGTCCCGTTGCCACCCTTCATATTGCTGTAATCTGTGCAGATCATCAGGATGGGATGCAGCTGCTGCTAGATGTACTGGCCCACATTCCAGTGTTGGAAATCTGATGACTGGTGGGACACTGGCTTATTTGTGTATCATTCTGCTGTAGATCCTCAAATCATCTCTGAATTGGTCCTTCTGGAGGGGGGCTACTTTTGCTCCCCATGGCCCTGTGTGTGTTGTAAAGTAGCCACCACTCCAAGCTCCCTCCCGTGATGGACTACAATCTTCGTGCAAATTAGTAAACTAAACATGAGATTGTAGTCCATCCCGGGAGTGAGCTTGGAGTGGTGTCTACTTTACAACACACACAGGGGCCATGGGGAACAAAAGTAGCCCCCCTCCAGAAGGACCAATTCAGAGATGATTTGAGGATCTACAGCCAAGTGATACACAAATAAGATACATTTGTGTTAGTAGTTCAGGTACTTGAATGCATTTTTAAGATTTAACTCCTGACTTTAGTGTCACTTTAAGTTTAATATGTGTTACTTCTTTGTCTAGATTTTTCACAGTGGCAAGTTTGCTTCATTACAAGCAGCTGTGAAGGCGCTGCAGAAGGGTCTGGATATACACTGGTCTAAGCCTTTACTATCAAGTGAAAATCGTCTAATCGTCCCAACTTGTGTGGGTCTGCCACTGGAAACCAGCCTGTACTATTCATCGGTTACCAGGGTGCAGGTACAAGGTATGTGCACTGATTAACATAAACCTGAACTGCAGAGAGACAGCTTAATGCACAGCTGAAATATCTGGGAGCTGTTTAAACTGCCAAAGGATTTGTAAACCTGTCTATTCAATCCTGATATTTACACAGCCATGCTAGGCAGCGCAGCCAGATCAGTAACCTGACTTTTCATTGCTTCAGTTAAGTAATACAGCTCGTCATCTCCATTGCCCTAAGTCTGTGATTGGACAGTGACGGAGAAGCAGCAGTCTATTAAGATCATCACTCTGCTCTTTCTTGTCTGATTGTTCCATGCTAGTAGATCACAATAACAAAGAGGAGCCTGGCAGGGTTGGGGGTGGAGAGGGGCCGGGGAATAAGCCATGCAATAAAGTTATATGTAAGCTTACGAATTTGAAGTGCAGCTTTCCGTTTTAGATGGCCAGCATTAATTGCTGGTGGATAAACTCAAAAGAGCCAGAGTGTGGTGCAAATTCTGCTGGAAGCTGTTTATTCTCTGTACATGTGCATTCAGCAGATCCTGACTGGCCACTTATGCTGCCCCTCCTTCAACCAGTCTAAATTATACAATATATCCACTACTCTGCGATGGGGAAAGTCCTGTCTGCCTTCTGATTGTACTGTGGAGCAAAGAGGATATCTTGATACCCACTAGGGCAATGGCTAGAACAGATTTGAGCACGCATTGTACAAGGCTGGGGATGCCACAGAAACCGAATGGCAGGGCACAAGTTTGGACCTTTAAAGAAGAACTCTGGGCAGAATAATTCTCAACCCTTGCAGTGGGGCTACCATTTCCCTGCAAGTGCTCATTTTCGTCTAGGGTCCCAAATAACAAAGATATACTCACTCGAACCGCAGCTGCTAGACCGGTCTCCCGAGAGGCCTCTCTCCCCCTCCACTGCGGTGATGTAATGTCCTTCGGCATCCTCATGTCCAATGCACTATATTGGATGTGATGACTCACAGGTTCTTAGACTGCTAGAACAAAAGGGGAGAGAGGCTGCAAGAGACATTATACAGCGATGCAGAATGGCAGCGGCTATAGAGGACTACAAATCTCGGCAATACATTATACAGAAATGCAGCATAATACCATTACCTATAGAGCTAGCCAGGAAATGAGGCGAGCTCTATCTGCCTTGCTCCAGCTTCTAATGCACTTTATGAGAATACTCACAGTGTGCAGTGAAATCAGAGAAAGCCATTTTAGTCGTGGAGAGGAGTCGGTGCAACTGTACAAGACTGAAGGAATTGCTAGAGTTATAATTGTAATATTAGTTATGGCTAGATGGGCTTTTTAAATTACAGTATATTACATAGACATTTTATTTTACTGTTTTGCATTCATCTGTAAAATATTTTTTAATTACTAGCTCGGTCTCATATCACTCCCGACCCTAAAGACGATCTAAGGATTCTGCAGTTACTTGAATCTGACATTAGTCTGCAGGCAAAGCTTTCCTTAAGGTATGCACACTTTCCTGTATTATGCATATGGAATTAGTACGAGTCATTAGACTTTTCTTTCCCTATTATTAAAATGTATCTAAAGCCAAAACTGTTTGTAATATTGGATAGAGCAGGCAAGAGTTAAAAATACTGTGAGGGTTTTATATCTGCCTTTGTCTTCATTAGGGGGAATCGCCCTCTCTTTTTGTTAATCTCCCCAATAGCAAACAGACAGCAATAAATAAATAAGAGTGGACAGGATTTTAATCATTCCCTATTCTATCACAAAAATAGGGAAAAAAATGGCTTTAAATATACCTTAAAGTGAATCTGATGTCTCTTTTCTGATGTTTTCAACCACATATATGCATGTATATTTAAAACAATAAATAGTAATATAATAATAATATAAAAATGAATATCAATATAAATAATAATATTGATAGAAACAATCTTAGTAATCAATGCTAAGTGAACCTGATCTAAAGTTAATAACAGTGCTGAAGTGCAGGAACATTTGTCACTTGCAACTACCTGTCTTAGTTTTTAAAATCCAACTCCAGGCAAAAATAGTTTTTATTAAAATGGTCCACCAGCCAGTGTCTGAAAAAAAAAAAAAACAGCTTGTCCCAATGTCATTCAACCCCTAAAGCTGCCCATACATCTATAGATCATCTGCAGACTTTCTATGGTCAGATGGAAAAAGTGCAACAGATTTCTCCATCTACGGCCAAGCTTCAGTGTCTTGCTAGTCGGCCCCTCTGGCTCTCAAAATACATGAACAATGCCTGCATCCAATCAGGTTGTTCAGGGGGGCCGACTAGCAAGATCTACGCTCACTGATTATACCCTGGTGTTTCCCTTTATATTATCCCTGATAATAATTTGACATGTATTTTACCCCATTATTTAGTATGACCAAGGAAATAGTGTTCATGATCGGTGTCAATACCAACCTGATCCAAGCCGGAATGGAGCTCAGAACACAGGCCAGCTTTGTATTACCCGCAAATGTGGAAACCAACGCGAACGCTGGGCAAAAACACTTCAAGATGGATTTTATTCCAGAGCTGCCAGATAATGAACTTATTTCCATAAGGTATTTACAATCTGTCAATGTTACTTCTGTCTGCAAATTCAATTATATCATTAGATGTAAACACTGACGTGATGACAATTTTTGTCAAAACACTGCGTATCATGAAGAATTGGCATTTTTCTTTTACCATAAATACTGTTCTCACCTTTCTTTCATCCTTTTTAACGTCCCAGTGCTGCTGATCTCCACCAGCCTCTTTTAGCCACTTCCTGTCTCCAGTTTCAACTCCCTCTGTCTACATGCACTCTCTCCAGTTTCAACTTCCTATTGTTCCTATTGTTGGCCAGAGCTGGCGACCTAATAGTATAGATGCAAAATGTCCAGGATTTGATTCAGTCATAAAGATGCTGTGTCTCAGCTAATGTCCAGGTATCACAGTGTAACCTTTAATTGAGGTACTGGACATGCACAGTAATTTAATAAGCTATTTGTTATGGGGATGTGAATAGACGGGCGCATAGTTAAAGGTGGTGTTTGGGCGGACCAATCTGGTAAGTAAATGGGTTGCTGGATGGTGCACAATCAGTGGTGGGGGGGAGTGGTGCTGGTGGACAGTGACCTCGCTTAGAGCTGGTGAAGAGATGTGTAAGGGCTTTGCATCTCCCTGCTCAGCTCTCAGCAGCCTGGGACACTCTGGCCGGCATCCTGCCAAGCTCCTGACAACCAGTGACATCACTGGTTGCTAGGTGCTCAGCGGGATGCCGACAATAGCGTCCCAAGCTCTGTTAGGCACTTATGCTGAGCTCCTAGCAACCAGTGAGGTTACTGGTTGCTAGGTGCTCAGAGGGATACTGGCAATAGCGTCCCAAGTTGCTAAGAGCTGGGCAGAGAGATGTGTATGGCCCTTACACATCTTCCCGCCCAGTTCATAGCAAAATGGGACACTCTGAATGGAAAGGGGGCCGCAGGCACACTGCAAACGTTCTGCAGCAGAACGGCCATGCCACTTTGCCTGACGCCCTCCATGTGACCCAAAGAGATGCCTGCCTTGGCTACAGCCTCAGGTTCCCCAGTTATAGTGATGGTCCTGCATGTAATAGTGACAACAGTAGACCATGCCTGTTCAATGTATGTAGGCTTGGCCACTTGTAGTCTCCACTAGGGGTGCTTCAGACAGGGAGACAACACCGGAGCACAAATGAGAGACAGTTGTCACCCTATAACAGTAAGTAACTAAGCAACAACCTTCATTGCCGGATCAGCAGGTATCCTGGTAATAATAGCTGCAGATTTTAAAAGACAGAAAACAACGCTGGAATTACATTAACATGTGAAAGTGTATTATGAGTTGTTCGTGATTGGGCTTAGATCTAATTTACCTGAATGCAATGTATAAGTGTGTATATGTTTCTAATCGTATATCTGGCATTGAACCTTTGCTACTGCGGTGATTGGCAGTATTATTATTTGCTTATCGGCCTACTTGGCAATGCACGCAATCTGATTATTTTTCCGTATACCAGTAATGAACAATTTTTCAATCTAAAGAAAATGTTTGCACGAAATCTCTGATTATATATGATTGGAAGATAATGCCGCTTCATCTGCTGATTTAATTGAACAAATTCTTCACCATCCAGTTGGTTTTGCTCAGGTGATCTCAGGGCTCTATTCTGATAGTACTGCTCCACAGATTACAATATGACAATCGCGCATTATGATAAGCATATCATTTCCTTTAATTATTATTTAGTCAGATGGTAACATGCAGATACTGGCCAGCTCACTGTGGTCACGGACAGCCCAATGCAAAATTCAGATGAAGATTGGGCCATTTAAGGTGACCCTACGGAGCAATAGTAAACCCTTCAGATTGTCAGCAGCGCACATTATCATACACAGAGACTACAGCTTATTGATAAATCTCTGAGCATTGCTATCCTTCAATCCTCTAACTACCAGCCATGTTGCAAGATATATAGAGGTGGGAACTGGCAAGCTGGACCATATGCACATGGCTTCCCAACCTGTCAATCTCTGAGATGCCTGACTAAACCTAAACTCCGGGCAACCTGCTACCTGCCACACACAAACACACACCTCAGCCCCACAACAACCTCCCACCCTCTGAAGCCCCCCGGTATTTTTTTTTCTATTCTTACACATAATTGTTTTCCAACAAGTATTCTCTTGCTGGTCTGGAGATGTCACTGCAGCTTCTTCTCCTTCCAGTAGTGTAGAGGGGCATTCTTCTAGCAGTACTCTAGCAATGATGTGATCCCAGCCTGCATGATGACACACTTCCTAGGGATGGCATTTAAAGGACAGGCTGGACTATACAGGAAATGGGCAGAATAAGTGCTTATGCTCATGGGCACCTGAGACTGTACAACAATAATTCTGGCGTATTTTTCTCCTCCAGGGAGCCACAGGTACAGCTTCCCATAGTAGTCAATGGCTGTACGCATGTGCGTGTACGGATGTACATCTTTTGACTCAGAAGACCTGCGTATGCCTGCTAACAGCCATATACAGTCAATGACTTTATTTGCATTGTACAGGCTTAGCCACTCATGTGAATGAGCCATAACAGTGCCATTTTAACCTGAAATGGACCACCGGTGCTGTATTGAGGAGGAAGTAATGGGCAGTGTTGGAGCATGGAAAGTATAAGTGCAGAATGGCATTTTTTTCCCTATCTTCCATTGAGAGACACAGTGCGGATGAATTCTTGCTTCTAGGAGCAGCAGCATGACCCCTATGTCACAGAATTCTTCAGAGCTGTGTCTCTCAATGGACTCCGACTAAAGGATTTGACGGTAAGAACAAAATCCAATTTTCTCTATCGTCCATTAAGGGACACAGCTCAGAAGAATTCTGAGACATTGGGGTTGATTTACTAACCTAAACACACACACACACCAGGTGTGTGTGATTTTCACACAGCAAAACGTATTTATCAACCAAAAAGTCTCTAAAAGCATATTTCCACTAATGCCATATATGGAAAAATCATGCACATGATGCATATATAATGCTGCTTCACAGTTTAGACAAAAATGGTTAGCTCATGCATTTACATTCCTGCATTCATCAACGCAAGCAACATAACATAGAGCTAATTTACACCACATTACCTTGCAATTCATTGCAGGGCTTTGAACAACACACCTGCTGGGTGTGTACACACTACAAAGGTGTTTCGATTCCTCCCATAGATCATGCTGGGAGGGAACACACTACAGAGGTGTATACACGTTCTTGGTGTGTTTAAAAGGTTAGTAAATCAACCCCATTGGGTTCATGCTGCTGCTCCTAGAGGCAGCAGCATAACCCTACATCTTAGAATTCTGCAGAGCTGTGTCCCTCAATGGACTTCTAGAAAAAGATTAAAAAAGGGGAATAAAAAAATTCCCTGAGTTCCACTTTTATAATCTGCTCAAAATTCAACTATAATGTTTTAGCGTACTTGTATGTTATTTCTATTTTTGTGCAAACTTTTTGCCAAGCATGGAACCAGTAATAACGATAATAACAAAAACATAACAATTACATGAGCAGAATAACAATAGCATACGCAGAGCAGAAACTGTCTATTGCAACGAGGTAAAGCACATCTACAGAGAGGTAAAGACAATAACCTTGAAAAAAGTTGAAAATATCATAAACAATAGACCAAAAAAAGGAAAAACATATTTTCTCTCTGACAGCGCTCACAAATATGTGCTCAAGATAAACAATACAACGTTTTATGTTCAGGTCAAAAGCGTTCGCTGTAACCAGAAACTCGGAGGATTTAGCTGCAGCGAAGATGACTCCTATTGTAGCAGCTGGAACAGAACCAAACGTGCTAAAACAGACCTTCAGTACGCAAGGGTTGTCCGCTGGGGACAGTACAAGGGCCGAGGTCAGCACAATCATTAACCCTTTACTGCTTTGAAAAATATCAAACTGAACATTGTCGAGTTTGTAGTCTGAGAGGAGGTTATTTATATTAGTTTTTATTGGCATATTTATTGGTTTAATAATCTATTCATGTATGTTAATTGCTTAAAGAGACCCTGTCCCTGAACCTGTTTTTCCTTTTTATAAAATATATGTAATAATTTGCACTGTGCCTTTGAACTTGCTGGAAAAAGTGACTCCTCCTGGAAGAGTCAATTCCCACCCCTCTCCTTGGATGGCATAGCCCTCTCCTCTTCTGGGAGTGTCTGCTTACTCTCTGGCCCATCTTACTCTCTGGACATCTGATCTTATAACATCTGTCAAAGAGGGAACTTTCTCATACATAGGCGGGATCTCCCCTCATTTACTTGTTTTGATCACAGGAAATCTCTCCAATGGAACAGAAAAAGCAAAAAAAATATCCTGATAGGGCTTTTACCACTTACCTACTTTATCTAAAATGTAAAGAGGAGGCTTTCACTGTAAAGGATGTGAGATGTTGGAGGCCGGTGGGCGGATAGTGGAATTAGTGTTCACATGCATGGCCACCATCCCAGGAGTGCTACTCCTAGTAGATTTACTTTTAGGACCTGCAACCTGCTTCTGTGCTTCCTGGACTGTGGAGGAATCCCTCACAAACCCCGCTGTTCACACCTAGGTGTTCTGTCACTCAAACCTAAGACTGACAAAATGCTCAAGACAAGGAATCCTATTCATTTTTATGGCCCCTGTTCGCATCTGAGTGTTTTGTCACAAGCAGAAAAAGGCCTGTCGCAGGAAAAAGCACAAGAGCTACCCTTTGGCAGCTTACAGCGCTTTTTGGTGCCATGGACTTCAATGAGAAAGCAACAAAACCCTCAGGTGGGAACTGGGGCCATAGAAATGAATGAGATTCCTTGTCTTGAACATTTTATAGCGCTTAGCTTTGAGCGACAAAGCGCCTAGGTGTAAAGAGATCCTTATACAGGGCCAGCAAAGCACACTGGAAAAATGTGGAAAGTGGCTGCCAGTCTCCAACATGGTTCAAACAGGTATTTTTAGGCAGTGGACCAGGGGGTCCAGGACCATTGATGAATTATATTTACACATCTGTTCATCTTCCACCAAGCTTTCAAAGTGCACTCTTTCATAAATGTGGTTTGTGCTATGCTGCATAAATACATATTAGCGTGATGTGTCACCTGCACTCCTTACAGTGATTGGACCTTGATTAATAGTTGTGGTGCTCGTAGTGATTACACGGATGGCGCCGTGTTTTCCAAAATCATAGAAGATGGAGATCACCAGCATTGGATTCTTTTGCATATTTATTGAAGAAACATGTGACAAGCGTCATTTAGCCAATGTTTTGGGGCCACGCAGGGTCTCTTCTGCCCTTCTACGTCACCCTGAAGAAGAAACTGCGTGGCCCTGAAACGTTGGCTAAATGACGCTTGTGACATGTTTCTTTAATAAATAAGCCAAAGAATTCAATGCTTTTTGATTGTGTGCTGGTGATCTCCGTCTTCTATGACTTTGCTGCATACTGTATATATTATTTTGAGAAGTCAATAGATTCCTTTTAAATATGAAACAAAGCAAACATTTTCACTTTGCCCGAGAAATTTAGAACATAATAGCACCAGGGACCGAACACCTTCCAGTGATGAAATAAAGCCGTGAGCAATAGCTTTTGATTTGGGGCAGTGGGCCTGTCCCTGTGGCCTTGCTATATTATGTTTTATTCTATATTCACACATAATACATATGGCTCTCGACAGAAGTCTTTGCCAACCACGGGCTCCGTCCTGCTGTGGAGTTTTGTGTAAATAACTATCTGCTTAGCCTAACACTATGTACTCCCAGTTTTTTTTTTTAAAAGGTGAAAGCTCTTGCTCTGTGTGTATCTAGAAAGCAAGTTTGGAATATGGATCTAGTTTCTTAGACACTGTTAGGATTAAGGAACCTTACCTTTTATGAATTAATTGATGTTTTATTTTTTTACTTTTATTTTCTTCCCATCAAAGCAGAAGTGTCAGTCTGTCCTACCTACCTACCTACCTACCTACCTCATATCCTACCTAGGCTTATTGATGATAACACTAAAAAAAAGTCTTATAACAAAGGCACTGCCAGGATTACATAAATGAAAATGAAAACTAAAGGCATTTGCTGACTGATTTGCCCTCTTTCAGCAGCCCTAACATTGTGTCACATAGTACCAAGCCCACATAGAAGATTGGCCAGGCTCCATAAAGGCCTTACAGTTTGACACTGGGCTAACCTTGCTGCTCTGACAGGGAGAGAATACAGCTAAATAGCAATGAATACAGCTATTCCTGCGAGGAAGACTTTGTTATAATATTAATAGTGGAGATGTATATTCTTCAACACTTCTGGAACTGTAGGATATCTGTGCCACTCACCGCATGTTGTGATTCCATCCTCCAATTCCTATTTCACTTCTGGACTCAGCAGTGAGTCAGAGGGTATAAGGGTCAGAGGATGCAACCATGGTACGCACGGTTTGTTTCTTAGGAGATCTCACAGGAATTTGTCAGTACTGGGCATTCGTAAGAATCTAACAGGGCTACTCATTGAAGGTGAAGAGTTTGGAGATTGCTGGAGAAGTGAACAATCTAGGACAACATAGCTGAACTGGAAATTGAGCTGAATTAGAGAATTTTTCCAAATCAGCTATTTTGTCCTAGATTGTTCACTTCTCCTGCTTCTCCAAACTCTTTAGTGAATAACCCTGTAAATCTCCATATTGTCATAAGTTATAGTGCATTATAGTGCAGTCTTACTCTTGAGGGATAGCTGTGTTTGCTGATATTTAGCTGTATTCCCTTCCTGTCAGGGTAGTCATGTCAGCCCAGTATCAGGCGCTTCTGTCCCTATGAAAGCTGACCAGTCTCCTGTCTTGGCTCAGTGCTAAGTAGTCCACACTACTTAGGAAAGGGTAAAATGATCAACAAAAGCCTTTCATTTTCCTCATTAAATGCTGAAGGCACCTTTGTTAGCTGACACTTTTTTGTGAGTCAATTATTAGCACCGGGCTCAAGTAGCAGATAAGGGGAGCTTACAGTCTGACATCTCTGCTGTGACAGGGAGAGTATAAAAAAGTAAATAATTAAAAATCAACTACATTATGAGAGATAAGGCTGCCACAGTTATCACAGTGGAGATTCAGATTATTACAGATGGAAACTGATGACGGGTAATCTTTAAAATGCAATTTTACCTAAGAGAGTTTTTTCCATTCTGTCATGGGATCACCTGTAAAGGCCACCTCTCAGTTAAACTTTTATTGCTCAAAAATGTCCCCCAGCCCAGGCTCAGGGTGCACTACTAACTTTTAACATGGGGATGTCCCCTGAAGTACCTCTTTCTTACCATAAGATGTACTTGGACTTCCAGCATGAATGATAACCAGCATCCTTTAGCCCAAAAGATTTAGGATTTACTGAGACGGGGGTTACCATAGCCTCCCTTCATTCACAGAGAGTGATGCTGACATCCTCACTTCAGCACTGCTCTCTGTATCAGTAGGGACTGTTCTCTGTATCAGTATGGACCACCCAACCTAGAGAAGTGGCGAAGACGAAGAGGACCCTGCAACGTGATATGACTGGCCTGCGGACTTCAGAGAAGCTAAGTATTAAAACACAAAAAGAATGTAATATTGACAGTGGGGGGCACAAGGAGGGGAGCAAGGCTGATTTTGAGGGAAGTCTGGAGGAGGGCGTTAAATTAGATTAGCAAGCTGAGCTTCTAGAGTCTCAGATAATGTTCCCACTTAGGCTCCCGAACCTTATAGCGTTTGCAGGTAGATAAAAACACATTGCTCTAAAGAAAAATCAATTAAAGAACTGTATTTACTTATCTCTCTCTGTAGACTGTTGTGAATCAGATTTAGAACTATGGTTATCATTACAGGTGACTTATCGTGAGATAAGTATAGGGGTGTTACTCACCCCTATACTTTGAATCTCTGAGCAGAAGGAGGAGAGCAAATGGTACATCCTGCAGTGCTGTCTCAACAAATTTACTTGTAAGCCCTCAGGGGCAAGGCCCTCCTTACCATCTTGTCTTGAATTGTATTGTGATTGTAATGTCTTCCTTATATTGTAAAGCGCTGCGCAAACTGTTGGCGCTATATAAATCCTGTATAATAATAATAATAGTTACTACAGCACAGGTTCTCTTTAAAGTACAATTGTTGTGACAGCAATGCAGGATGTACCGTTTGCTCTCCTCCTTCTGCTCAGAGATTCAAAGTATAGGGGTGAGTAAGTCAGCACAGCAGCCAGTCAAATTGGGTTTTCAGAAGTAAAATTCAGCAATGATGCTTCTCTCACGATAAGTCACCTGTAATGATAACCATAGTTCTAAATCTGATTCACAACAGTCTACAGAGAGAGATAGGTAAATACAGTTCTTTAATTGATTTTTCTTTAAAGCAATGTCTTTTTATCTACCTGCAAACTCTATAAGGTTCAGGAGCCTAAGTGGGAACATTATATGAGACTCTAGAAGCTCAGCTCGCTAATCAGTAGGCGGCGATTTGCAACAAGGATCGGACAGCATGAAGCCCTTACAAAGATTTGTTTTAAACTTTTTACAAGGTATTTTCAATCAATCTCCCTGAACAAAACCATCAGTTTTCTCCAGAACATAATAACAGACTTGGGAGCGACTAGAGGCTTAAAAGCACTAAAAAAAAAAGGAGAAAAAAAAAGTCCTAGGTCACCTACACAAAAAAATACAAAGCAGCAGCGGGGAATCCTGCACACATTTTAAAAAGGGTTTCATGTATTGCATTTAAAACATACTTAGTTCTGCATTGATACGGTCAAATAATGTCATTTTTATCTCGTCACTTCACAGGGAAAGTTTTCCGCCGAAGTTTTAAGCAAAGAGAATGCTTACTGGTCAGAGCAGCCGCGAAGACATCCTCAGTTGTCGGATGTCTCCATGTGCGCCAAAGCTGGGGATTTGGGTTTCCAAGTTTGTCTAGTAAGAAACTGTCTGACGACTGCCTTTGTCAGAAACTGCCCGCTGTATCACTTGATCGGAGATCATTCTGTGAAAGTGGTATTTAAGCCAGGTAAGACATTAGCATGACTACGTACAGGGTCAGTGAATGAGTTTGGGCCCATTCACACCACATCCAGATCATCTGCAGACAAGAAACAGATTGTTTCCAGACTCAAAATGCATCCCAATGTATCCCCATGCTATTTCTGGCCTCTGTTCCCACCAACCAGACCGTTCCAGACCAGAAAAATACTGCATGTCTCATTTTGTCTGGACTGGAATGCACTGGAACTGCGGGCAGGCTCACACCATTTTCCGGACCAGACGTGGTTCGGAAATTTGTGTGAACCTGCCCTTAGAGGGAAATTCCTACTACAACTAGCTAATACTCAGAGTATATAGTCCCAGGGGTAGCCACCACACTCTTATTTGTAAGATAATTTTCCAGGTACTCATTCACAAAAATATCCATACAAGTCCAAAGTAGGTACCGTGTTTCCCCGAAAGTAAGACCTAGTGCTATCTTCAGAGATTTCTGTAATATAAGACCTACCCCGAAAATCTTAAAAAAAATATAAGACACTGTCTTATTTTCGGGGAAACACGGTATAGAGGCACTCATGGGTCTTTCAGCAGGGATAAGTCAGAGCATCAGCATTTTATTGTCAACTTTCTGATGGAGCTTAATCCATCAGTCTTGATAAAGTTGGACTGAACTCCCTCAAAATGTTGACGATAAAACAATGATGCTCTGACTTATCTCCACCGCAAAACCTGAGAGTGCTTCTATACCTACTTTGGACATATATTAACAAAGTATAGCTAAAGCCAAAACTTGTTTTAAATGTTGGATAGTAAGGGAGGGTTAAAATCAGTCAGTTTGTTTTTGCCATGTGTGTCTAATGAGTGATATTTTCCTTCACTGTCCTGTAGCCTCAACAAGACGTGAGCGGATATCTTTCCAATGTGAGGTATATCCCTTCTTAGAAAGTTGTCACAGGACCAAGTGCCCCATTGAAGGATTCACCTCTATTTCCATTCTGGTGGCAATTCCAAGTTTTGTATTTACCCTCAATGTTCATTCCTGGTGATATTGGTGATCAGAACAATTGGAGAGAGCAAATCTCCCTTACAAGCACACAGACGGCAATTAAAACCTGACATAGGTTGTAACCCTTCGGCACTCCATCTGAATCTAAAGAAAAAAGTTTTGCCTTTCATTATACTTTAGAACTAGCAAAACACCCTCCCATAGCACACTGCAGTGGAATTCACAGTAATGAGTTTCAGAGCAATTATAGCAAGTTTAAAATAAGTAAGTTCATATAAATTGAGGCACATTCACTTAAAACCAAAATACCCAATTTTCAAGGGATTTGCTTTTATGCCAAACAGACCCGTACAAAGGTGTATTGAATTTCAGGCTCTTCAATAATTAAACCAGTAAGTGTTCTCCTTTCTAGTGCACACGGGTGCCTCAGTCGAGAAAATACAAATAGAATTTCAAGCAGGGCCTGGGGCAACGTTGAAAATGGTGCGTTCAGTTAATGTTCGTAGAGCTGACGGTGGAATACAAGAGCTGGAAAACCCAATAGACCGCATGGCTCTTTCAAAGCTGCAGAAGATTCTTGGCATTAGCGAGGTTATGAAACAGGTAAGTCTATCAACAAACACCTCCAGGTTAAGCCAATCCTACTGAATACTGATTAGAACAATGAAACTCTGTGTTCATTTATTTATTTCATTTATCAATGTAGCGCTGACATACAATAGGGCGCTGTACAGAGTATATACATCTGTCACATTAGTCTCTGCCCTAGAGGAGCTTACAGTCTAATGTCCCTGATTCAGTCATATTAGCACATATATGTACAAGCTTTGTTAACAAAAACTCATTAAACTGAGTCAAAAGAATTGAATTATTGGGAATAAGTAATGAGTCATTATTGACTCCAGGATTCATTTAGCAAACATGTCTGGTGCGGGCTGGTGTATTCAATAGATGATGATAGCTCACAGACTTTCTGTCTTCATTTATTATGTCCAGTTGTTTTAAAACATAAAGTGTAGCTGTTGTATTTTGATTTCTTTGCAATGAGTTAAATAGGAAATGGTGCATGTTCAGTTTTCATATTTACCACTTGCAGACGACAGGTGGCAAGCTGTAGGCAACAATACCAACATTCTGAGGTCTTAGATAACAGTGGATGCGCTAAAACGTACCTGAATAACAGGAGATCAGATTACACAGACAGCTAAATGCTTACAGAAGGAATACAGCCCTTCCATACTCCTAGCAGAGATAGCACTGTCTTCAATAGCTTACACAACCTGCCAAGAAGAATGTAGGAAGGGTCTGGGCTTTGCTTTTAGAAAGCCCAACATAGATCAGCACATTAAGCAACATGGATGCATCCTGTGTGTGTGTGTGAGTGTTTGTGTGTGTATGT